AAGATGATGAAGTCATTTTTTTTTTATGAAGGTACCAATTGCTTTATGTACACATGAAATTGGCTGCATTTAAGAATTAAGCAACATACATGTGTATGTTAAATAAATGTAAATATTGTGATAGGTCACGAAACAGATGTGTTACTACCTATTTGAGCAATGACTGATGAGTGATTAATAAATATTTTTATACTATTTTACTGATAACATATATACATATATATAGTCATTTAGTAATAATAATAATCTTAAATAATAGTATATCAGATGGCATTCTTTAAAGCAATGTGAGTAAATTCATTATAAATTTAAATTTTCAAAACAATGCATTTTTGTTTTATACATATGTTTGGGCTAAAAGTGTCAATGCAGTGCAATAATGATATATTTCGTAAAGCCACTCCACCAATTTTTTTAGTATCAATTTTTTGGATCCAAATAATTAATATAAAATTAGAATTTGATTCAAAACTTTTGTTTTTACAAAATTAGTACACCCTGATCTATTGATATATAAAAGTAATTAATTATACTAATTTATATAATAAAAATCAAAGCATCTATTAATATTAAGTGGTAAACAATAAAATTATTTATCAATTAAATAAATTTATCTATAAAGTACATATATGATGTGAGTTAGAATATTTATTTTATTATAATAGAAAATGGATAAGTCGTGCAGGTGACGGTTTCATTTTTAAAGACAAAAAAATAATGCAATTTTTTTTAAATATATATATATATATAATTTAAAACAAAGACTATCTCTCTATAATTTTTTTTATATTTTTTTTAATTAACACTCGTTAATTAACATTCCTGTAATAGAAATGTGTTGTAAAAATATATTAAACATTGCAATGGAGTTTCTCCAAAATTTATCTTAAATTCATGTAAGCCTATAGCATAAAATTATACACACGATCCTGACTATCAAATTTATTTATTTAATTAATGGGATGGAAGGAATTTTCCAAGATATCAAATTAAAATCTTTCACAAAACAAAATTCACTGGAATTCAATATTAATTAGGAATACCACAAATAAAATTGATTAACTACTGATAATTTGTCAACGGGAGTCAAAGAAATCATATACTTGTGCCAAAATTGTATATAATCCCTGAAATAATTAGGAAATAAGTTTGAAAAATTCAAGAACCAGGTTAATTCTGTATTATGTATCTGATATTCCTATTATAGATGTTTTGTTTCAAATTGGATAAACTTATCTGACCTTTGACTTAAAGACCCATTTATCTAGACCTTTGAGTAAATAGCTAAATATAGCCTTTGAGTAAACTTTTTAACTAAGGTAGAAATAATGATGATTTAAAATTTAAATACAATATTAAAATAACTATGGAGTATGAAAGAGGAAAAGGAAACCCAATTTTAAATCTCCTAAACTTAGTTTAAACTCAAAATCCCATGTGAGCCATTAACCTCACACTACACTAATAAGTTATTCAACAATCATTCTCAATTATTAAATTAAAAATCATAATAAAATTGAATATTACTTTTAACCCAGTTTCATCTGGTTGGATAAATTTTCTTCACTCGAACATGTGATTGATTATAAATTCTTTTCCAAAACTTTTATTTTTTATTTATTTTAATTTTTTTCTCAATATTATCAACATGATTAAATAAATATAAATCGCCATTACTACTACACATTTTTTTAACAAAAAACTATTTACCGATTCACAATTTATTTATTTTTAACTAATCGCAACCATTATTTATTATTTTTATACATCAAATTTAATAATTATATTTTATCTCATATTATTCACAAACTCAAAAATCATTTATTCGTCCATATACATGATTTTTTTTCTTTCTTTTTCCTTACCGTTTTACTATTAACATAACTAATTTTATTTTCAATCCCAACTTCTAACATCTATATTTTATTATTATTTATTTATTTACTTGAAGTCTCCACCTAACCCCTCGTGGGATCTCCAAAATACCAAATTCCCTTTCCTCCTAAACAAAAATCACCTTCCAGTCAAAGGATAAATACGTCATTTCCCACATACTCCCGCCCCTTTCCCTAACCGCTTCGCACCCCTTCCCAAACAAAATAAAAAACAATAATAAAGAATAAAATAATAATTTGTTTTTTTTAGAACAAAAGGTAAAAAATTGCATGAGCCGCGTTTTCTTCAGAGTGTTGGGTGGGGTGGGGGTAGGGGCCACGGCCCCCTGATGTGTGTGTATATATATAGGTTGAAGAACTTCCTTGTTCCTCCACACTTCTCGCTACACCAAATCTCACCTCTGTTGGTCCAAACAATTTCTCCCCAAAAAAACTACTCTCTCTTTCATCAATTTCTCTCTGTTTTCTTTTTTTCCTCTTTTTGTTGAGAGTGAATATCTGGATCAGGGACCCGTGCGATCGGAGAAGAATGTGAGTTGAGATCCTAATTTCCGTTTTTTTTTTTTAATTGTCCGTACTCATGTTTGTATGTGATTTTTTTGAATCGGTGCGTGCTGGATCTGTTCCCTGGTTTCGGTCAATTCGCCGCCGTTCGCGGCGGTTGATTCAGATCTGTGTGTTTTGTTTTGCATCCGTCCCCTGCGGGCACTCNCAATTATTAAAAAAAGCTTGATTTTGAATTGTTTGCCATTGGATCACAGTGGAGCTTGATCTGCTGAAGCTTTTAATGTACCTGCCTTAATGATGTTTGAATTTGTGCCTCCTGAGTTTGAGATAGTTAACTGACTTATGTAATTAATTGCTTAATGCTAATCATTTGCATTTAATTCTTAATCCGGTCTGCAATTGGTTTATGTCTGCCAGTAGAATTAATTTCTGATCTTTGCGAAAAATCGTTCTGGTTATCGTGGCCCTAGTCATATATGCGTTTGATTCTGTACCTCTCGTTTCCATATTAGGAAAAATTCCGTATTAAGCAATGACTTTCAGTTTCTCCAACTTGATGATGCCTTCTTTATTATCAAATCTCTCTAAATTGACTTCTTTTTCAAATCCCCAAATTTTTCAGAAAATCGGTACGAAATGTCGAATACATTCACGCCCAAGAACATCCTCATTACAGGAGCTGCCGGATTCATTGCCTCCCATGTGGCCAACCGTCTCGTCCGGAACCATCCGGACTACAAAATCGTGGTCCTCGACAAGCTCGATTACTGCTCTAACCTGAAGAATCTCCTCCCATCCAACCCCTCACCCAACTTCAAGTTTGTCAAGGGCGATATCGGAAGTGCCGACCTCGTCAACTATCTCCTCATCACCGAAAGCATCGATACCATCATGCACTTCGCCGCTCAAACCCATGTCGACAACTCGTTCGGCAACAGCTTCGAGTTCACCAAAAACAACATCTACGGGACCCACGTGCTTCTCGAGGCCTGCAAGGTCACCGGCCAGATCCGCCGCTTCATCCACGTCAGCACCGATGAGGTGTACGGCGAGACTGACGAGGATGCTGTTGTAGGCAATCATGAGGCTTCTCAGCTACTCCCCACGAACCCTTACTCTGCCACAAAAGCTGGAGCCGAGATGCTTGTCATGGCGTACGGTCGTTCGTACGGGCTGCCTGTGATCACTACTCGAGGGAACAATGTCTATGGCCCGAATCAATTTCCCGAGAAGCTTATCCCGAAATTCATCTTACTGGCCATGAGGGGAAAGACTCTCCCGATCCACGGAGATGGGTCTAACGTTAGGAGCTACCTTTACTGTGAGGATGTGGCCGAGGCTTTTGAGGTGGTTCTTCATAAAGGGGAAGTCGGGCATGTTTACAATATCGGGACGAAGAAGGAGAGAAGGGTGATCGATGTTGCTACTGACATATGCAAATTGTTCAATATGGACCCGGAGAAGAGCATTGAGTTTGTTGAGAACAGGCCGTTTAACGATCAAAGGTACTTTCTTGATGACCAGAAGCTTAAGAATCTTGGTTGGTCAGAGAGGACCACTTGGGAGGAGGGTCTGAGGAAGACTATGGAGTGGTACACGAGCAATCCCGAGTGGTGGGGTGATGTTTCGGGAGCTCTGATCCCCCACCCGAGGATGCTGATGATGCCAGGTGGCGCTGAGAAGTACGAGCCCATCAAGGCTGAATCATTGGAGAACTCCAGCCCAACCAAGGTGGTAAATGGGCCTTCGGCCCAGAATCCGGGCCTCAAGTTCTTGATTTACGGGCGAACAGGATGGATAGGTGGCTTGCTCGGGAAGATTTGTGAGAAGCAGGGGATTCCGTACGAGTATGGGAAGGGGCGCCTGCAGGATCGGGCCTCGATCTTGGCGGATATTAAATCTGTTAAGCCCACACACGTTTTCAATGCGGCTGGTGTGACTGGCAGGCCTAATGTCGACTGGTGTGAGTCTCACAAGACTGAGACGATCCGTACGAATGTGGTGGGAACTTTGACTTTGGCGGATGTGTGCAGGGAGAATGGGCTGCTGGTGATGAACTATGCCACCGGGTGCATATTCGAATACGATGCTGCGCATCTGGAAGGTTCTGGAATCGGGTTTAAGGAGGAAGACACACCGAACTTCACTGGCTCTTTCTATTCCAAGACCAAGGCCATGGTAATTCGAATTTGATTAGAAATGCGCTATTTTATTGGGTCGATTATTAATGTTTTGTAAAACTGTTGTCTTTTATTAGGTGGAGGAGCTTCTGAAAGAATACGACAACGTGTGCACGCTTAGGGTTCGCATGCCGATATCTTCAGACCTCAACAACCCGCGTAACTTCATTACCAAGATCTCCCGTTACAACAAGGTGGTCAACATTCCCAACAGCATGACTATACTGGACGAGCTCCTCCCAATCTCGGTCGAGATGGCCAAACGAGACCTTAGGGGGATATGGAACTTCACCAACCCAGGGGTGGTGAGCCACAACGAGATATTGGAGATGTACAAGGAGTACATTGACTCGGGTTTCAAATGGAGCAACTTCACCTTGGAGGAGCAAGCAAAGGTCATAGTTGCCCCAAGAAGTAACAATGAGATGGATGCATCCAAGTTGAAGAAGGAGTTTCCCGAGCTGCTGTCGATCAAGGAGTCGTTGGTCAAGTATGTGTTCGAGCCGAACAGGAAAACCGGCCCTGCTAAGTGAGTGTTCGAGATATGTTGAGTGGTGGGCTGTTTTTTNATTTTTTTTAATATATTATCAAATTTAGTTGAGATGACAGTTATGTATTTTAAGTTTGGTAGCCCCAGTTGTGGTATTTTGGGGTACTGTACTTCATCTTTTCTTTCTTTCTTTCTTTTTATTTTCTTTTATAGAGTCAATACAGATGGGGGTTGGTTCTTGGTAGATGGGGTGAGTTGTTAGCATGATAAGCACTTTTGCATGAGCTGCTTGTGCTTATCTTATTGCAAAGTGCTGGGTGTACAATTTTTTCTTTGAATCATTATTATTGTTATTCTCATTTGGAATTATTTAATTGGAGAAAATTAGTACCCCGTTGATCGGAATATTGGAAGTTTTCTTGATCAGAAATTTCTTTGCCCACAGTTTCGAGCTGCCAGATCACACGAGCACACACACTGACACGAGTACACACACCCAAATATATGTTGATCTAACAATTTTCAAACCCTATTCTAGGGCCTAGGGCTACTTTTTTTTTTTCACTGCTCGAGCTCGACGAGTCATGTAAAATATTGCTTGACTCGATTCGACTCGTGAAAAAAGTAAGAATGCTCGAACTCGACTTAATGCTCAAGGTCGACTTGATGCTCGATATGGCTCGAGTTCAGCTCGAAATTTTAATAACTAAATTTTAAATATGACAATAATAATAGTTTTAATCTAAATAGACCATTTTGGTCTTGGTGTTCTAATATTAATAATTAAACTATATGGTGTATCTATGTAAATAAAAATTCGAGCTTACGAGCCTCTTGAAATGATGCTCGAGGCTCGACTCGTTTGCTCGCTTGAACTGCTCAAACTCGAGTCGAACATTGACTCGAGCGCTCGATTCATTTGGTTATCTAATAATGATAGTTGACTGATTTTCTTTACTTAAAAAATCTTAAAATTCTTCTCACTGCTCGTTATTTGGTTATCTAATAATGATGGTTGACTGATTTTCTCTACTAAAAAATCTTAAAAATTTTCAGCAGCAGCTCATATTGGAGAGTTGTGCGCGTAAAACACACTTTCTAAGAGAGAATTTTGGCAACCGCGCACACCCCAACATGCTGTGAAACTTGTAGTGGTATGAGCTTAGAGAAAATGAGTAAGAAAGAACATTATAAAATTCTCCTATATATACTCTACATTATAAACCATATGAAACATTTAACGGCAGTCCATGTTCCAAACACTCGTCACCAACAAGTTCTCCAAGTTCAAAGTACTCTGAACAAAAGGTAAATTCGCAGTCTCAACACGAGTCAGTGTCAACTTCACAGGAGGAACAGATTCATTCTACTCAGCAAAGAACTAACCTGCCAACTCATCGAGAAAGGCAACCACTTCATCGGACGAGTTAAACAGGTAACGAGCCTTTGTACAAGTCCTGCCGACCGAACAAGAAAAATAGTTCTCCTTTTTCAGATCAAGCACGTTCCAGCAAGTTTCGGTTTTTGGGGATTGTGGGTTTTTGCCGCTATTCCTGGAGGTGTTTTCTCCAGCCGGGCTCTTGGTCGAAGACTTTGAGGTGCTCATTTCAAATGGAGATTTGGGGGTGGGCCAATTTTTGCTGCTTCTTGGTGTGCCCCTGGTGTCGGGGGGAAGTTCGGGCTCGAAAAATGTATAGATATCCTCATCCTGAAACAAAGTTCTTAAGGATATCAGAAGAGAGAAAAAAAAAAATGTTTTGTGAGTTTTGTTTTGTTTACCACGGAAACTGAAAAGGCATAGGTTGCAAATCGGGTTTATGATTAAAAGTTACGTCCCAATTATCACGTAAACGAGAACCAAAAAAAATAAAGGAAAAGTTGCTTTGTAAAGGCTTCATGCATTCTCTCTCTCTCTCTCTCTCTCTCTCAGTCTGAGTTGTTTCTCCAGACATGTCGTTAGATTATGCTGAAAAAAAACCCTCGAACAGAGTGCAAATGCCATTTCAAGAGTATAAAAGAGCATCTATAATCAATTCGTGCATGCAGACAATGAAGCTGATTAGGAAAGGATGAAATAATCTAGTAACTCACTACATATTAAGATCTGAACTATTTCAGCACTTTCCATGTGTAAAGAATAACTGCATTGTTATGTAGTTAAACTTGAAAAAGTAAAGTCCGCCCGTTATGTATTAGACACTTGCTAACAACAACATTCGTAGAGCAATTAATTCAGAAAAAAGTAAGATATATGTCTGATATGGTATACGCGGAAAAAGAACAGAGAACATACCTTCCCCAAGAAATGTCCTATGCACAAGACATAATCTATCGGTCCAGAGAGGTGTTTACTGCGAACAATCTCTCCAAGTATACGGGCAATAGCTGCACCCTGAGAACAGAAAAAATATATATATAATATTACAAAATGAAATACAGACACGTACACCTATAACAAGCATTATAGTGAATAAAATTTATTAATGAAATGTTTAGGCAGGCTATACTTTTGTGACACCAACGGGTCGTACTTCCACAGTGCGGCTTCCTTGGATGACATCAACAGGTGTATTGGATATTGGTCCAGACCATAGATGTTGCAGCATGTCTCTAGCTTGCAGTCTTCCAAATTCAACATCTGATATTGTATAACTCGATATATAAGTAAATGATGCTTTAGGGGAAAAAAGGACCAAAAAAGGTTGAGGCTTCAATTGCTTGACTGACACTTTATAAATTTATCATTCAATAATATTTGACAAAATGTTTCGAATTTTTAATCATCAGTCAGGCTGAATAACTATTTTATGGATAAGATCACGTGACCTATTATGATTACATTTTCATCTCACTATCAGTCACACTACTTTCTCACTCTTGCCTCCGAAAAAAAAAAATGAACAAAAGGAGACAATCATAGCCCTGCTTTCGGAAACATGAACACAACTGAACTATTTACCTGCATATTTGTAGTTCCACACAAGTGAAGTTTCACGTTGCTCAAAATGTGATCTTGGGGTTCTTTCAGTGAAATACTCTAGAACATGCTGGAAACCAGTAGTCAAAGGCACCACGTAACTTGAGTTAAGTTAAAAAAATTATTAAAATGAAATAAATTGTGAAGATATTAATACAAATACCTTGACACAGTCAACCCAATCCATATGCAAAAGCTCTGGCATAGTTGTCCTCCATTCTCCTTTTGTAGATCTCAGAAACATTCCATTTTCAGCAGCCAACCACATGTCATACTTTCCAAAGTTCTACGAGAAAAAGCAATTATCACAAGTTATCCCACAGAAAAATAAAAGGAAAGTGTAGAAAAAATCCAAAACAGAATATCAAGACCCAAGAACTCTACTAAAGCTATGTATTACACAGTTTACAGAAAGCACAAACAAGGCAAGGCCAGAAAATAGTCAACACACATCATCAAGGATGCTTCTGCAACTTCCACTGAGGACCAGAACTGTTGTGTTTGGATCATTACAAAGCATTGTTAGTGGACCTCTTAGATCAGGATGCAATTTGAGTTCCATCTCCTTTATTTGATCCCCACCCCGTCCTCCAGGTATATCAACTGTTTCAGTCAATGCAGCATTAAACCCCTGTAAAATAGTTAATTATCAACAGGTTAGAGAATATGATGATTCAAAAAGACTCGGTAAGAAACATCATTTCAGACAACTCTCATCATAACTGGATACAACTCTCATCATAGTCGTTTCAGATGTTGCGACTCTTTATTTGAAAAACAAGATGCAACATCTAGAAAATTAAAACATACCAGTATGAGTAATCGGTTCTCAGACTGCAAGTAAGCGTTGATTCCCTCGCTAAAAACAAGCGGAGGAGAAATTTTTCTAATTCTCTGCTTCGCTTCAATAACAGTGTCGTTCAGTTCACTGCAAGATCAATCCTAGAAAGATTAGACTCAGGAAAACAACAGTCATAAGCTTTCTAGTTCTTGTATGTAGCCTGTAAACTCTTATGAGAATTAAAATCTGGCCGACTTGAAAAAATATTTTAGTTCATGCAAGCATAATACTGGTAGATTCAGAATGTGCAACACAGCAGTATTCCATTCAGAAATCTGCGGCTATAAATAACTCCAGTCCACAGAGAGTTTATTTGCTACTGCAGAAGTTATTTACGAGTAATACTTCACGTGGACCTATGGAAAGTCTTCATCAGGTAAGAAGCTGGATTTATCATTGCAATATATACTTCAAAATGACATACATGAGTTAGATACTTAGATATGCAACACGATGAGCTCACTTTCTATAAGGATAAACCATATAGTTCCCAAGAAATCTCCAAAAAATCTTCGTTACAAGACTTCTAAAATGTTTTCATGCACTCCCTATCAATTTACAATGTTTGCTTGGTTTCATTCTACTTCTGCAATGCTTTTCAAACATCCT